CGCAGCAACAAGCTATTTCACAAAGTGGGTAGAGGCAGAGGCACTTGTATCCATAAAAGAAAAGGACGTCAATAAATTCGTCTGGCAAAACATCATAACTCCGTTCAGCATACCCAAGGCATTAATATCTGACAATGGCACTCAGTTTGATGGCAAAATCTTTAGGGGCTTTTGCGAAGAATACAAAATAGAATTCTACAACTCCATACCCCCAAGCTAATGGCCAAGCTGAGGCTTCCAACAAAGTAGTCTTAGACAGTCTAAAGAAGAGGCTGGAAAAAGCAAAAGACAAGTGGGCTGAGGAGCTTTCCCATGTTTTATGGGCCTACCGTACCACACCTCGACGATCAACTGGCGAAACACCTTTTTCATTGGCCTATGACATGGAGGTAGTAATCCCACTGGAAGTGGGTCTCCCCACTATTAGAAGCGAAAATTTTGATCCAAACTTGAATGGTGAGGCCATAGCCCTAGAACTCGACCTCGTAGAAGAAAGAAGACAAAGGGCATTGGTGCACATTGCCTCATATCAACAAGAGTTGTCTAGGAAATATAACAAAACAGTGCACCTAAGACAATTCAAGATTAGAGATTGGGTAGTGCACAAAGTAATGGGCAAGACTTTAGTACCTAGAGATGGCAAGTTAGGACCTAACTGGGAATGACCATACAAAGTGATTGGTTTAGTGGGAAAATGGGCATATCATTTAGAAGATATGGACAACAAAGCTGTTCCTAGGCTATGGAACACGGTCAATCTCAAAGTATTTTATTTTTAGCTTTTCTTAAAACATTTGTAAGTTTTCTTTTTCAATAAAACAAGTAGATTTTTTTTTTCCAATAAAATTATTTCCTCTGTTTGTAAAAGTTGTTTATATTTATTGCCAACTGGGAGCAATCAAGAAAGTTGGCAGCTTTGACCAACACCTTTTTTCTTCTTCAGCCAAGATAAGGATCTAGACATAAGAAGGTTGGCAAGTTTAACCAACAACTTTTTCTTCTTCAGTCAAGATAAGGATCTAGGCTCAAAAAGGTTAGCAGGATTGACCAACACCTTTTTCTTCTTTAGCCAAGATAAGGATCGAGGCTCAAAAAGGTTAGTAAGTTTGACCAACACCTTTTTTCTTCTTTAGCCAAGATAAGGATCTAAACTCAAGAAGGTTGGCAGATTTGACCAACACCTTTTTTCTTCTTCAGCCCAGATAAGGATCTAGGCTCAAGAAGGTTAGCAGGATTTGACCAACACTTAGTATGTGATTCATTCGAGATAAGGATCTAGGCTCAAGTAAGTAGACAGGTCTGATCAATACTTTTATAGCCGAGATAAGAATTGAGGCAAAAATCTCAGCTACAAAAGCTTTGTAAATTCCCAAGTTGTTTTTTAGTTGAGATAAGTATCTCGGTCGAAAAAGGTGGACAGAATAAGGAACGACCAAGCTAACCAGACTGGCTAGGCTTGCATTAAAGATAATACACTAAAGAGGAAAATATGCCATAACCGAACAAAAAGATGTGAAAAAAGAAAGATTTCATTCATTGGTAAGCAATTACAAAAGATGGGGCGTTTTAGCCCGGTTACGTTGCAAACAAAAAAGACAAAAGAAAAAGAACCTTAGGCAAAAAGGTCGTCTAGGTCAGTGTCTAGGTCAACCCGGACTTCGCCACTAGGTAGGCCAGTTTCGGCGGCTATCTCTTGGGGTAGGTCATTCAAGGGCACCTCGTCAACCGTGCTTGGCACAGGTTGGCTGAGCAGATCCACCCGAGCAGGCTGAAGACCAAGGTTAGTGTTAGCAAGTGGGGCATTATTTGGATCTGGGTTCTGTTCTTCCTCCTCTCCCTCTTGAAGAAACTTTTACTGGACCGCATTTGCATAGTTTATCATATAGTTTGGTATAAAGTGAGGGGGAGGGTTCAGAAAGACTTCGGAATCAAGCCCCTGACCGAGCTTGGCAACCGCAGCCTTCCACCCACATTTAAAAAAGATATCTTTGATGCCTCGCATTGTTGGACATAAAGCTCCTTGCCTTCTTTAAAACCACGATCCTCAGCGTCCTCCATTTGCTTCCGCAAAGCTTTTATTTCGGTATCTTTTTCCTTCTCTAGCTTCACCAACTCTCGTAGATAGTGATTTTTTTTCCCGACTAGAGCTTTTTGCTTATCAACCTTTACCATGTTAACCAGCTCGGCCAGCCTTGTATTCTCAGATTCCAGCTCGGTCAGCTTGGCCTTAGCCTCTTTTTGTTCGGCCGCTTTGGCATTAGCATCAGCGATGGCCGACCGAGCCATTTTCCGCAGCTCAAGGACACGTTTGTGACCCACTTGGCTCTTTTGCAAGGCATGCACAACATTCAAAGCGGTGACGTAAAAACCAAGCATTGGGTGCATGATGGTATCAATTATTGAGTTGCAAGGATTTCAGATTTTATCAAAATCATAGACTTGGACGCCGAGTGAATGGCCTTCAGCTCGGTCAAACCCTCGTGCTGCTCCATATTGGCTGGCAGGTAGACGCTTTTTGCTAAATTGAAGGCTAGAAGGTGATTCTTGTTAACACTGACAGAGTCAGAGGCTGTCACTGCACGACCCCTGAAGGGCACGGTTGGTGCCCACACCGGAGGGGATGAAGGATTGAAAGGGCCTGGCTGATTGCGACCTTAGGGCAGACTGACTTCTGGCAACTTGATTTCTGGCGGCTCGGTGTCATCTTTGTCTGTCAGGCATTATGACGCAGTAGAGTTGGTACGGGGTCGTTTGTTTGGTCGAGATAACATAGCTTGGGTAGTTGGAAGGGCCACCACAGCGTCGCGTGATTGACCGGCCTATTGTATCTCGGTTTGAACCTCGACAGTGGAAGTTGAGGTTTATTTAGTGATAAGGGCATGAACGGCTCATCGCTTGGCCATTTCTTGCTCTTTAGTTAGAGGAATGAGACTGATTTGGGTCTGGTTCAGGTGATGGCTCAAGGAGATAATTTGTAACTTTGATTTTTCTTTTTCCATTGTACCGGTAGGTCGGCTCAAAATTTAAGAGCTCGGTCCAGTCTCAGTTGCAGTAACGGAGCGCGACACGAAGGGTGTCTTGGTTTGCGTAAGCGTAGGTGGACTTGAGGTGATTCAAATCTGCAAAAATTAAAATGGCCAAGGGTTAGTATGGCAGTAGTACACAAAGTAAAGACGGAACCAAACTGAATGGTTCTTACCAGCGGTCCCCTTGTTCCAGTTAATATTTCGGCCTGGTATGGGGGCTTTGTTATCCTCAAAGTTACCTCTGACCCAGAGAAAATCATCATCATTCAAATCCTTGTCTGGTGTGCCTTTGGTAATTTTCTCTCAGCCTTTTCTAATTTGTAGGTAGTAGCCCAACCATCGTCATTTTGACCGAGAGAATATCGGTGGAAAAGCTCTACCAATCCGAGGTTGAGGCCTAGATGGCAGTTTAGTTCGGCCACACCGTTGATTATTCTATAACTGTTGGTGGATAACTGGGTAGGGCATAAGCGGGTTTGTCTTAGTAACTTGCATATTAAAGGCTAAACAGGGAACCAGAGTCCACCTTCAATAATGGATAAAAGGGTGAAGGGGTCAAAACCGGGCTTGCCCCATGGTGTGGTTTCTAGCTCAGCTAGTGTGAATTGGACGTCATCAGGGATGTTATATTCCCTCTGAAATTCGACTATCGTGCCTAGTGAGCTTACCATAAATCGATGCTTGCCCACGTGTTGAAATTTAATGTTACAGGAGGCTAGCCGGCGGCCTAGCGTGGCGATAAAACAAACGGAGGTGGGCTCGGCTGAGCAATATCGCCAAGGGGCAAAGTGTAAGGGTGTGCATGGCCAACCTAGTCAAGTCTGCAAAGTGGAAATAAAAAAGGGTTATGCGTAAGTCATTAAACTGGGCTAAATAATAAGTTAAGACTGATGGTATCTAAGCTCGGCAAAACGTGGGCATATACTGGGTTTGTGTTCGGCTAGGGAACAATTGGAAAACATAAATATTTCAGTTCGGGGAACCGGGGTATAATTAGTTTGGCTAAGGGACTTGGGCAGCATTTTAGCTCGGTTTGCTCGGCGAGTGTTATTTAGTCCAGTCAAAGCCGAGCCTAAAGCCACGAACATGATTTTATTCCAGTTGCAGCGTGGTTTTGGATGAAAAACACGGTGTGAAGACTGAGTTCAGTCCCAGTTAAATGTGTTTCCAAAGTTACATATGGAGTTTCAGGTTCTTAATACTGGTTCAGTCCTTAAAATGCATATGTGGTGCAAAAATGCAATTCTTTAGAAATAAACGGTAATATGTGTATACAGAAATACGTACAAGGATGAGGAACTTTCTGATTTGGGAATGAGATCCGAATATAATCTGAAGAACCAACACTGGCAGCGATAATGAAAGCAGGAGATGCGTAGACCCAGTCTTGAAACGTAGGAAGATTAGGGGTTGAGGATTTGGAGCTCAGGAAACGTATAATGCCTCGAAGGGTGCCATTCCAATACTTGCTTGGAAGCTGTTATTATATGCAAATTCAACCAGGGGTAAATGCTTCTCCCACGATCCTTTAAAATCTAACACGCAAGCCCTTCACATATCTTCTAAAATTTGGATCACACGTTCGGATTGTCCATCAGTTTGGGGGTGATATGCGGTACTAAAGTTCAGTTGAGTTCCTAAGGCGCTTTGAAGACTTTGCCACAACCTGGTTGTAACACGAGGGTCTCTATCAGACACTAAACTGATTGGTACTCCGTGGAGGTGGATGATCTCATGAACATAAAGTTCAGCTAAGAATTCTACAGAATCCCCCATTCTCATGGCGAGGAAGTGAGACGACTTAGTAAGCCTGTCAACAATTACCCACACTGCATCGTTACTCCTCTGGGTACTGGGGAGACCAGAAACGAAATCCATGTTAATGTGTTCCCACTTCCATTCGGCAACCGGAAGGGGTTGCAATAGTCCAGCTAGTCTTTGATATTCTGCCTTAACTTGTTGACATGTCAAACACTAGGATACAAAAGAGGCTACGTCCTTCTTCATGCCCCTCCACCAGAATTGACGGCTTAGATCACGATACATTTTTGTGCCCCCCGGGTGCACAGCGAGGCGAGAATGATGAAAGTCTTTCAAAACTTTGTTCCTCATAGATTTAGGCACGAACAATCGATCAAGGTAACGAACACTAGAGTTTGTATGAACATTTAGACCTCTCTCTTCCTTTCCAAGTTGGATTCTCCCTTTAATGGTTTCCACTTGTAGATCACCCAATTGAGCTTCAGTTACTTTTGCAACAAGAGTCGGTTGTGCGATAGTGGCAAAGAGGGTTGCTTGCTCTAAAGATTCACTGAGCCACAGAGAATACTCATTGACATCTCTTAACATCTTTCATTCGTTCATTGCAAAGTTAGCTATTGTACTCATCGACTTTCTACTCAAAGCATCTGCCACCATATTAGCCTTACCAGGATGGTAGTGTATCTCAAAATCGTAGTCTTCTAAGAACTCCATCCACCTTCGTTGCCATAGGTTCAAGTCCTTTTGGGAAAACAGGTATTTGAGGCTTTTGTGGTAAAAAAAGACTTCAAATTTCTCACTGTAGAGGTAGTGTCTCCACAACCTCAAAGCAAAAACAACGGCGGCGAGTTTTAAATCGTGGGTAGGGTAGTTTCCCTCATGAGCCTTCAATTGCTACCACCCTTCCTTCTTGCATTAGAACACATCCCAATCCCTCCCTAGAGGCATCGCAATACACTGTATAACCTAATCCTCATTCCGGAATGATAAGGATGGGTGCGGTGGTCAATCTAAACTTCAGTTCTTGGAAAGAGTTTTCACATGTTTCACTCCAAACAAACTTTACTCCCTTACGGGTTAACCTAGTCAACGGTGATGCTAAAGAAGAGAAGTTCTTCACAAAACGGAGATAATAACCAGCCAAACCCCAAAAGCTTCGAATTTCTGAGACATTCTTAGGTTGCTCCCAATTTAACACAACTTCTATTTTTGAGGAATCCACTATTTGCCCATCCCCTAAAACTACATGGCCTAAGAACCTTGCTTTTGTAAGCCAAAATTCACATTTTTCATACTTAGCATAAAGCTGGTGCTCCGTAAGAAGCTGCAAAATCATACGAAGGTTCCTTTCATGCTCTTCTTCGGAGGGTGAATAGATAAGAATATCATCTACAAAGACCACCACAAATGTATCAAGGAATTCTCTAAAGATTCGGTTCATTAGGTCCATGAATGTAGCTGGGGCGTTGGTCAGCCCAAAAGGCATAACCAAGAACTCGTAATGACCATGTCAGGTATGAAAGGCGGTTTTGGGAATGTCCTCTTCTCTAACTCGAATTTGGTGGCAACCCAACCTCAAATCTATTTTGGAGAAACAATGAGAGCTCTTAAGTTGGTCAAAAAGGTCATTTATCCTTGGTAAGGGGTATTTATTTTTAACCGTAGCTTGGTTCAATTTTCGGTAATCTATACGCAACCTTAAGGACCCATCTTTCTTCTTGGCGAACAATGCTGAGGCTCCCCATGGTGATGTGATAGGGCGTATGAAGCCCTTATGAAGTAACTCCTGCAGTTGTTCTTTCAAAACTGCTAATTCAGCCGGAGCAAACCTATACGGTGACAATGAGATCGGTGCCGTACCCGGAAGCAAGTCTATGGTGAACTCTATCTCCCTATGAGGTGGTAACTCTGTGAGATCTTCAGGAAAGACATCGAGATATTCACTCACTACTTTTGGGAATTCATCTCGGACCACATCACTTCCATCTTCCCACAAGCTTGCTAAAAGAAAATTAATTTGATCTCGGCCACAAGGATAGTGTGACAAGGGTAACAATCTATCATACCTATCCCCCAGTAATGTAAAACAATCACCACTTACAGTACACACTGTGACCCTCCCCCGGTAACAATCTATTGTCGCCCGGTACGCGAACAACCAATCCATTCTGAGAATCACATCAAAACCCACCATTTCAAACATTATGAAATTAAAAGGAAGTTGTCGACCTGCTACCTCAATTACACACCCCTGGCATTCCCGGGTTAGATTGACCTTTCTCCTTACTGGTGATTCCACTGTGAGTGGGACTTGTAGTTGTCTACTCCCTAATTTCAACAATAATGCAAATGATGTGGCAATAAAAGAATGTGAAGCCCCAGCATCTATTAACACCTTAGCCCATGTATTGAAGATGAGAAATGTACCTCGCACCACTGATGACCCCGTAGCTTGCTCAGAAGCTGTAACTGCATACACCCTTCCTTGTGATCTCTGCTCCCCTACATCACCCCTCTGAACATAAGTTTGTTGTGCAGACTGAGCATATGAGGCTCCCTGAACTGTCCTGGATGCTTGCCCTGATTGAGTCGGCTGATATGATTGTCTCTACCCTTGACTCATCTGTGAGCCCTCTGGCTGTCTAGACCCTGCCATCTCCAAAACTCCCGCTTTCTGTGGACAAAACTTCTTCAAATGTCCAGGTTGGCCACATTCATAACAAGATTGTTGCTGATTTCTACTTTGAGGTGGACCTTGAGAACGCATCGGCTGGGGCCGTGCTCCACCTATCTGCCCACACTCCGCAGCTTTGTGACCCATCTGGCCACACCTATAACATGCACCGGTAACTCGGGGCATGTTTCCTGAACTCCCACCCGACACATGGCTAGAAGACTTAGTTTGTTACGGGGGTGATTGCCACGATGATGATGAACCCCTAGGCCTCTTAGAAGAGCACGTGTCACTTCCAGTGTCAGACTGACTTGTTCTCTTTGATCTTTGTCTTGCCTCTTCGGCCTCTACTGTGATTTCTACATGAGCTACAGCTTCGACTAAGCGATCATAGTCACGGATCATGTTGCCAACCACCTTCATCAAGTTCTTCGGTCTCAACCTTTTCTCAAATTCAAGACACTTCCTTTCCTCCATAGATACCAATTCGGGTGCAAAACGAGATAGGCCAGTGAATTTAGTTTCATACTCCGCCACTGGTGTATGTAGCTGCAATAGTTGCTCAAACTGTTTTCTCAATCGTTCTCTAGCCGTGGGAGGGAGGAATTTGTCCTGAAAAGCTTGCATGAACGCTTCCCACGTATGATCAACCCTATATTTGACGGACTTCCACCATTGCCCGGCCTCCCCCTTGAGTTGATAAGCCGCTAACGCCACTCGCAACTCATTCTCCCTAATGTCTAAGATCTCAAAGGACTTAATTATTTGCTCCAACCACTCATCAGCCTTCATCGGGTCGGGCTCGCCATTATACTCAGCAGGATTAGAACGAAAGAACTCCTTTTTCAAAAAGGAAGCTCTCATTTCACCCTCAATGGTTCTAGCCACTTGCTCGGCTCTCAACATTTCCATGGACTCTCGCAAAGCCCCCGCCATCTCCCTAGCTAACACTCCCATAGCTCCTTGGGCCGGTGGAGCGGGTACATTGTTTTGGCCCACTCCTACCTCTTGCGGAGGAATCTCAGGTTGAGCTGGGATGTTTCGGCCACTTCGTTGGGGCCTACCCCATGCTCTAGCTCGCCCAGACATCTATAAGAAACAAGAACAAGGACTAAATTTAATAACAATTTTCAGTACCTAAGTGCCCTTACTCACTCCTTCAAAAAACATCATAATCAAATAAATAATCAACATACATAAAACACACTTGAGTTGTCCTCCCTAGATGTTAGCTAATTCCATGGCAATCAAGGACCTCCAAGTGAAAAAGACAGTGATCAAGTGTCTTTCCAAGAGGAATTCGAAGAAAGCAACGGACAAAGCCACATCCTAGGATTCCAACCCCATTTCCACATAATGACATAAAAGCACATAACACATAGGGTCAATCCAGATAATCTAGGACCCTATTGCGACTAATGTCACTTCCCACGAGCCCAAAGTATTCTAACCTACGGCTCTGATACCAACTTGTAACTCCCTGAAAATTAACCCTGTTATCACATTGGTAACATAATCATAAAATCCCAAAATGGGTCATCTTTCCCATTGAACTAAGACTTAAGTAACTACAATTCAAATATTACATTTCCACAATGCTCAAGGTCCTGTCCTAGTTCAATGACCTAGATAACTTAACAAAACATGAGCCCTCAAGGCGTACATTAATATAGAATTACAAACAAAAGTTCCATTACAAAATCCCCAAAAATTACACACATACACTAGATGTTCTTGACTTCACGTCACTTCCCAAAGTAAGCTAGATCTAGCATTTGAACCGGTGCTTCATCGAGGCAGACCTTCCTCAATCCCTGAAAAATAAGTTAGGGTTGAGCGAGATGCCCAGTAGGAATACATTTATCCAAATATCTACTTCCTTGAACAAAATATGGTATCCATGTGAAATAACAACCCAAACAAAGGTATTTCAGCAACCAACCACATATTTATAGTCTATATCTCACTAGAGTCCTTATAATTTAATTTAGATAAATTTATGTTATGATAACTAGTTGCATGAAGAAACATTCATAACCAAGAAATCATTTTACATGTATCCCATCCCATGAGCTCAATTGGGAACATCCGTTTCTTTTAATACACAATCCCTACATTCGCCGGCTACTATACGGCGGGGGGTGGGCACCTAAGAAAATCATCTATTTTTCCACTTTCGCCGGCTACTATACGGCGGGACTATGTGGACACCCAAAAACATTTTCCCATATTCGTCTAGCGATAAGCCTAGACAGGGCAATTGGTTACCTTTTAAAACACCCTGCACAGGTACAACACAACACCACTTTTACACATTACCAACCCACACATAGACTTATGCATGCTCAAACATTAAAACACAAGTCAATCCCACAATCAACATCATGTATCATTATCACATATAAACATCACATAAAACTCAAAGGCCAATAGCATTCAAGCTATCATTACTTTAATTACATCAACGCCAACATGTTATCTCCTCACCAAAGTCATGAAAGAAAGTGTAAAGAATTATCTAGAAACCCACTTTTAAGTCGTTGAATTCGCACAATCAGCTTGAGCATCTCTTTTCCCACTCGAGCGTACCTGCTTCTAACACAAATTCCAAAACTTCAAACAGGTGTAACGCTCTCATCCGGACTCCGTTCTAGGTCATTCTTGTGTCCAAATTGAAGCCCTAGAAACAAGCTTTCCAATGGCTCTAGCCTCACACCAAAATTCAAAGTGTGGAAAAGGAAATGGGAAAAAGAATGACGGCTATTCGTAGGAAAACTTACCCGAATTAAATTCTTGGTTCACTCGTACTTTACCATCATATTACCACTTTGATCAACGTCCCAAAATAAGTTTGGGAGGCTCCAAATACAATTATAAAAATGTCAAGAGCAATCCCACTAGTCTAAGAAGTTCAAACTCAACTAGGCAGACCGCTCGAGCACCCAATCTTGCGCTCGAGCACGCAGACCAACAAAGCCGTCCGCTCGAGCGACCACTCTTACACTCGAGAGGGAATTCACAACTCTTAGAATCTCAGACAGATTGCAAAAATACTGGGAGCCTCACAAGTCCGCTCGAGCGTTAACTCCCCCGCTCGAGTGGAGGGAAAAATTCTAGATCGTCACATCTGGGCTATTGGGCCAAGGCTGCACATGCAGGGCCCTAGGCCGCACGTGCAGGATGGGGGCCGCAGGTAAGAGTGGCCAGGCTGCACGTGCGGAAAGCAGGGGAGGGTGGGGTAGTGCATACTAAAATAAATGGACGTGCGTGAAGGAGGTGCGGGACGAGCCGCACGTGCTGGAGGCACACTCTGTACGTGCGGGGGCAAGTGCCGCACGTGCGGTTGACTTGAGTCCGAGATGGCTCTGTTTTCTTCTCTTTTTGGGATTGTGTATATCACTTTCCTTGTGTCTCTCTCTCTCTCTGAAAATACATTACTCTTCCCTCTCTCTATATTCCAAGCTCAAAACAAGACCAAATCTATGATCCTTCATCATCCATTTGAGATTGGTCCATAGCTTCTTCATCAACATTGTTGAGCCTCTTGAGAACCACATTGTGTACGGTGGAGTTCCCCTTCCAACACCATCAAAGCTAGGGTTTGATCTCATTTTCCTTCATCAAACATTGAGGTACGGCTCCCTTTGAGTTATATATGTGTTTATGTAAGTTTTTAGTTGATTTGATGAGCTCCTCTTCCTATTTCGAAAATGGGTCTGGTGGCTCAAGAAATTGATGATTTTGTAGAGCAAACTCTATTTTGTGTTCTTTTAAAGACTTTCTTGAATTTTTGGACAACATGGGTTGAGATTGAAGTGTATAATGTGTTTTACAAAAGAGATGGAAAATGTTAGGGTTTTTAGTGAAAACCTAGAAATTGGGGGTTTTCTTTGAAAAATGTGAGTATTCTATATTGAATTGTTTTATAAATATAATGGTCCCTTGGAGTATGAGAAATTGAGGACTATATTTGAAATTGTTAACAAATGCTTATACATGCATAGTTATTGAGTTGATTTGTTTGTTAAGTCTAAGGAACTGTGAACATTGAAATCTTTAATGTTCAAGGATAATGAATAAGGCCTTGAAATGGCTAAGGTATTGAGGATGGTACAAAATGTGCAAATTGTCATATGTTGTTGCACTTAATTGAACTAGTTGTGCTTTGTTGATTTCTATTAAAAGAAGGAAAATGGGTTATGTAGTTGTCATTGTAGCATTGATGGAATACTTAAAAATGGAAGGAAACTATGAAATTTTGAGCATCATTTGCATTATACATTCTTTCAATTGATATTAATGCATCTTAAATTGAGTTGAGAACATTACATTGAGAAAAGAATATTGTCAATGAGAACTATTGAATGTTATGGGGTAAATACGTTGGTAAGTCCGGTTAGGAGGTGTAGATGGATTTGATAAGTTGGCTTGAGTGTCCGGGTTTAAAGGCCGAAATCACGCGCGGAGGAGGTACCACTTCCATTCCGGTTAGCAACCGGTAAAGTGGGGTTATTGGTAGTGCTTGTTGAGCCTACTTGCAAACACCAACCTAAGGGATTACCTGAGTCGTATTTACCACCCCTAATGATTAAAATTGAAAGTTTGGAATTGATGATATTGAAAAAGATTATTGAAAACATGGCGATTCCCAAGAAGAGCATGACATGAGGTTATTTTCAAAATGGCATTGCATGGCATTTGCATTTACATTAAACGTCGAAGATCTTGCATAAATGTATATACTATGTTAAGGGTTCTTTACTGGGCTATGTGCTCACCCCTATGGGATTTTGGTGCAGGTAAGGATGTAGTGATCTCGCCGAGCTGAGGGTGTGGATATGTTTTGTGAAGAGTAGACTACTCTTTTATTTTGTTGTAAATTTTTGTAAAGCCAAGGGCTAATGTGTATGGGTTCGATGGATCATTTTGGTGTAACCAGGCTCATGCCTTGGAATTTGTAAGCCCTTGAGGGCCTCTATTCATTTTGGTCTAATGATTTCACATGCTATAGATATACAAGCATCTGAAATTATGTAATAGACTATGGTGATTATGACCTTCCGGTATCTCTTGTGTATTGGGGTTATTATTAGTGATTGTGGATTGATGTATTATATGTATGTTGGATATTTCGAGGCGTTGCACGGAAGGATACTAAAATGCACATATGGTCCTTAAAGTATGTGTTCTGTGTCATTTTGGTTCTTCAAATTTTTAATTTTGTCAATTTGGTCCCGCAAACATTAATGAAAAAAAAAAGAAGATGAAACATAACCTTATAATATTAAGAAACAAAATTGAAAAAATTAAAACTTTAAGAACTAAAATGACACTAAATTTTTACTTTGGAGGCCATTGTTGAAATTTATAAGTATTTCGTTTATGATTTAAATGGCCATTTGGAATTGAACTAATTTGACTCAAATAGAAAATTACATGGACGAAATTGATAAAATTGAAATTTGAAGGATTAAAATGACATATAATGCATACTTTAGCAACCATAAGTGTATTTTATTCTATAAAAATATATTCAAAATATATAAATCTTGATGAAAGTAACTTGTCATATAACAATTTTAGCCGCAACTATAAAATGTAAACAAAAAATCTTATACTTTTAAAAAATATAATGAGACCCACCACAATAAGGAGCTCCACTACAAAAATATGCTCATAGATTGCCTAATAATCTCTATGTAAAACACTCAAACAAAATAATTAACAATCTTTCTTATGCATACAGTATAATATTCAATTAAATGAATGAGATAGTATTAAGGCTGCAAATGAACAGAATTCTTCATGAACAAATTTGAATTCGGTTTGATAAGAGCTCGTTCAAACTCGGTTCATAAAAAAAAAAAATTGCGTTCGAGTTTGAGCTCGAACTTGTTAAAATTTTACTAAATAAGGCCAAACATACTAAAACTTGGCTCGTTTAACATTTATTATTTATATATTAAATAATGTAAAAATATGTATAAAAAATAAGATAATTATGTTATTTATATATTTAAAAAATGTAAATATAAATAATAGCTAACTACAGCTACTACATTTATATAATAGTGGTGGTAAATATTATT